CTGATTAAGTGTCTGATTTGATGGTTTAACAAACTTTATTCATGAATCTGTTCCACGCCGGTTGTGCGGAATCTACGAACCCTTGTGGCGAAGGTTCCCCGCGAACCAGGGGCCGGAGAAGTCGGTGCGGACAGGTTGCCGATGGAGTTGACTTCTGTGGTATTTGAAGCTCGTAGGTCCACCATGAGTACAGAACCGCTGGTCTGAGATGCTCATGGTGGCGCAGTTCGCTGGCTACAGTTATTCTGCAGCAGAACCAGCTTCTCGTTCTCCGGGTGGACAGAGGTCCTCACGCTGTTTTCTACACATGCTGAGTTCGCTGTTTAGCTTTCATTTGTGTTTATGCTTGTTTTGATTGAATTTTGTTTTTATTTACTTTATATGCGTCAGACATGACAAAATGTCCATCAGGTGTATAAATCACACCATACCAGAGCCGTGTCCAGGACTTTTAAAATGGGGTGGCCCATGTGGGGCACTTGTTTACGCATGGGTGGCACCAATGGTTATGCTTATTTATGTATTTACACAAATCGATTATTTTATTTTTTTTACTTTCTTTTAAATTTTGGAGTTTCACATTGCACAATCACCATTTTTTCTCTTCATCTTCTAGTTTTGTGGTGATTAGCAAGTCACTTCTTGTTGCATTACTGCCACCAACTGGAGTTGAGTGGGACTCTAAATACTATTTATGTGAATATGAAAAAAATACTACAGAAATGTTCTGTAGGCCTGGGCTAGAAAACAAGGTGAAAGGTGCGTGCTACCACACACCATTTTGGAGTTTACATCCCAAGCCTTTTGTCGACAATGTAAAGTCAATTTGAACTGGAACTTAGTGGGGTGGCACCTGGGGTGGCCAGTCAGATTCTAAGGGTGGCATGTGCTACCCCAGGCCACTCCCTGGACACGCCCCTGCACCATACTGTGTAAAATTCATGTTTCCCAGCTTCGAGCACGTCAGGCCTGGATCCCGTGTTCAACGCTGCCGTCGAGTCAGAGCAGACGACCGCCCGCGCTGGCCCACGATCCTCCATCCAACATAAAGAGCACAAAACAGCCACCAGCTCTGTTGTAAATACGGAACTATGTCACGGAGTCGACAACCAAACTCGTAATTCATGTAGCTAGGAATGTCATGACTTGGGGTCATTTCTTGACCCACGACATGCAGAATCAAGAGGCGGATTCTGGGTATCTAGGAGGACAAGGGAGAGTCAGGATCAAGGGGAGAACAGGTGATGGGCAGAGGTGTTTGCTTACATGATCAGAAGAGAGGTTGAGGCTTGGCGAGGTAGGTCCTGGTCGGTGTGGTGTCCAGTGGGAAGGTTCAGGCCAGAATTCAGATTTGTGGTTTGGGGAAGGGATTGCGGTTCCAGGGGTGTCAGGTGGACGGCGGAGAGCGGGCGGCCAGGAGGAGGAAGGCGAACGTGAGCCGGGCAGGAATCCAGGAAGTACTGTTGGAGTGGAGATGGTCGTGGTGACCTGAGAGATGGAGAGTGAGGAGAGCCAGGTAAGAGGAGTGCTAGGCCACAACAACAAAATCTTAATCTTTGAGTTTCCTTGGTCGTAGTACAGTCTAGGTTTTAGCGGGGACATCATAACATGAAGTCTTGAGCTTGGACTGAATCTCAATCATAAAATATTCTTGACGTAGCCAAGTGTGACGCGAACTACCCAGTGTGAGCAGGGGTGGACTGGGGCCAAAATTTGGCCCTGGCATTTTTACGAATCGTCGGCCCTCCCACTTGGGAGAGCGGTGGGGGTGGGGGGTGTTGCCGCCCGCGGACTCGACTCTAGGCCGAATGTGAAATCTAGTATGGACTGGGACTGTTAATTTACAAGCAGTGCCAGACCGCTGCGACCGGGAGCCCTGACCCCCAAGATCAGCTCATTCTCCACAGGCGGAGATCAGCGGGACATTAGCTACATGCTAACGCGGTAAAACAACTCCTACGTCATCGCTCTACCGCGTTTTTCTCGCTAAAAACGCCTGGAAAAACTCTGTTAGCTTCAGGTTGCCATGTAGCTAATGTTCTGCAGATCACCAGCTGTGGAGTAGTGTCGGCCCAAGCTGGGCAAGCAGTCCACTTGGCTAAGCGGCCCACCGGGACAGCGCCAGAATGCCAGATAGGCCAGTCCACCCCTGAGTGTGAGTGATCATCCGGCGCTGAGTTGTGTCTGCCGGTTCCTTAAATCCTCCTGGTGGCTGATTGCAGATCCAGGTCACCTGGACCCACTCTCCAGATACGCCCACCTGCAGGGTAACAGATTTAGAGATAAAGTGGATCAGGAAACAGGAACAACACACAGAGCGTGACTAGGAACCACCGACCCCACCGCTGCCCTGCCGCTCTCTGGGTCCCTGGAGCCACCAGTAAACAGCAGCAAACACGAGCCCATCCAGATCCCAAATAGGCAACCTCCTCTGCCAGCCCATTCCCCTTGTCTCGACCCAAGAAAGTCAGGTCCACCTCCGGGTCCGGTAACAGCCATGGCGGAACATTCGGCCAGACCAAGTGAGAGACCACAGGCCAGGAGGCCCAGCCTCTCCGCGTGTCCTCTAAGCCGTTCTAAAACACCTCCTCCTGTAACTTTTCATTACTGGAATTAAAAACGCAAACAGACCAGTTGAAGAAACGACACGTTAACTGGGAGCAGGTGGATGGAGGGCCGACACCATGATGTTGGAGCTGGGTTATTTACAGCTTCGTGCTGTAGATGAGCTGAAGAACCAGGAAGTCCCGGACAGAGGATGTGGGTCGGTTCTGGTTTGGACCCACTAATCTGATTGAGCCCGTATCTAAAGGTTCTACCCAGCGTAGAACCTGTTCTAGTTCTGTTGCAGGTTACTTCCTGGTAAAGATCAGTTATTGCTCTCCACTGTCGCCCTGTGCTTTCTCAGGCTGAAGGCTGAGGGGTTGGGAGGATCTGAAACTGATGATTTATTTATTTAGTTGTAATGCCAAAGATCGTCTTTGATCTAAACCCAGATGATTGAGAACCGTACATCCTGTCTCGGTCTGCTCGGAAAACGCCGTCAGACACAGACGCTGCAGCTTTTCTCACCAGCATGAAAAACGAATCTGACGATTTTAATAAAGACTCAGAACCTGAATTCAATCACCGCCGCTCACCGGGTCGCATCTGCATGCCAGAACCAAACCGACGCGATTTCGTGTCTCTGCAGGTTACAAGTCAGAACTCGAGCCGTTCATAAAAGCTGTTCTTTATTTTAGTTCACACGAGTTCTGGATCCACGTCATAAAGATCAACCAATCTGTGAAGCTGCTGCTGTCATCTCACCTTTTTTGGTGTGTGTGTGTGTGTGTGTGTGTGTGTGTGTGTGTGTGTGTGTGTGTGTGTGTGTGTGTGTGTGTGTGTGCGAGCGATGCAGACTGACACTCCTTCCCGGCAGGCCTGAACCAGCCTGAGAATGTGGACGATGTGGATTGAACACGACGGCGGAGAGCTGATCTCAGGTCAGAGTTCTGAGTCTTGAGGTGGAGGTGAAGTTGTGTCGTCGCCTCTCGGCAGAAAAACAAGACCAGGAGAAAATCCCGGTTTCTTCTGAGCTGGAAACAAAAGTCTTCATCTGAGTTTCTCAGTAAATCAAGAGTTCAACTAAAACACCCTCAAAAGTCACCTTTCAGGATTCAGGTGGAGAAAATAAACCTGTTTTAATAAAGCAACTCGGGTTTTCATTACACTGGGAGAATGTTCCAGATGAACAGAATCCTGCTTTTATGAGCTGCAGGTTCATTTCTGACCCTGCAGAGTTCCTCTGGTCTGATGGTTGCGAGTAAACCCGCAAAACACTGATGTGAAACTCGCGTTGTTGGTTGTGAAATACATGATTCTGAAATCAAAGGTTCATGTGTTCATCGTTTAAAGAAGTGAAACTTTACGTTTGCGAGGCTGAAGAGGAAGAAGCTCTGCAGCAGGACACCGCTTTACGCCCATATAAGGAAAGCAGAAGTTACACATGTTCAGGTGAACACTCAGCAGGTGAAGAAGAATAAAGGATTCATCCAATCAGGTTTCAGTAGGATGTTACCTTTACAGATTCAAACATGCTGGTTTTAACACCAAACTGATGGTTTTCTCTTTTATTTGAAATGATTATTTTTGCTGTTCTTGAGTAAAACTTCTGCAGGTTTCAGGTGTGGAAACATGAAGAGCAGCAGAAGCTTCCTGTCTGCAGCTTGCATGAACTTCACTTTAGTCCTTACAAGGACTGGTGGGAGAAGATTCAGTCTGATGCAGAGTGGGCGGAGCCACACCTGTAAAGGTGTGATTGGAAATCTGGAAGGCAGGCCCAGGTCCCTCCCAGAAGTCCTGCAGGTTGAGTTCTGGAAGCTGTGGGTTTGGCCCCAGGAGGTCCCACGAGGCTCACCTGGACACACCTGACAGGCAAAAACCTGCAGGGCCTCAGACCGGAGGAGCCACGCCCTCTGAGACGGAGCTCGGAGTGTTATGGAAGTTCAGGACATGTTTTGTTTACTGGATGAAGTTTAGACTCCTGACTTGTTTTTTTTAGTTTTTATTTTCTGACATAAAAGATTCCAAACTTTAGATTTTCTGACCCAAACATGAGTTTATTCCCTCTGATCATCAGACACTCTTCATAAACATTAATATTTACTCAGTAAAACTCAGATTCAAACAGAAACTCAGACTTTTCTGACTCCATTGCTTTGGTTTTCTTTAGTTCATTTATCTAATTATTCACTTTTATTTAGCCTTTGTTTATTAAAACATTAATTTATTCTCCACAAACAATCATTTTAATCATCAGCCAATCAGAAACGGTTCAGTTAAATCTCCTTATTTTGTTTTCTGATGGAGACGTCGAGGCTCGTCTTGATTGACACTTTCTGCAGCCAATCAGGAGGCGAGCTGAGCAATCTCCGCGCATCCTCCTCACCTGGACCAATCAGAGCGCGAGCTGCGGGAACCTTACCTTTTATGGACAACGCTGCTGTCCCGCCAGCGCTCATAAAGCCGGTGCTGCTTGTTTCCTGATGCTGCAGTAACGAAGCACAGCTGGGCCAGAACGGTACCGGGAAGACGCCACCGACAGACACACCCGTGACTCACCTGAACAGGTAGGAGATGCTTTTTTTTATGGTGGATTTAAAGCGGATGTTTATTGTTTAGAGATTTAATCACAAAGTGAAACTTAGTTTTTTGGTTTATTGTGGAGAAACTTGGATTTTTTTTTATATAAAGTTGAAACACTAAAGATGTTTTTTATTTTCTTTTTTGGGGGGGGGGGGGGGGGGTGTTAAAGAGCATCTCGGGATTTTCATTTTACTTGGATGGAAGGAAGTACAGTTCCTCTATATTCTGTGAACTTGCTGCAGTTCTTCTACAGAAATGTTTAGATACTTTCACACCAAAGCCGGAGTCTTGCTCCGGTCACACCCAGGCGTGGGTGTGGTGCAGAAGCTCCAGGAAGTTAACTTATCTTAAACCCGATCAAATATTTGTTCAGACATGGATGACGACATCTCCGCCCTCGTGGTTGACAACGGTTCTGGTATGTGCAAGGCCGGGTTTGCTGGAGACGATGCTCCTCGTGCCGTCTTCCCCTCCATCGTGGGCCGTCCCAGGCACCAGGTGCGACCTTCACCGTGCACGTTGGTGGTCAGGGTGGTGATGGGGGAGTTGTGACTGAAGGTGTCTCTGTGCAGGGTGTGATGGTGGGCATGGGGCAGAAGGACAGCTACGTAGGAGACGAGGCCCAGAGTAAAAGAGGCATCCTGACCCTGAAGTACCCCATCGAGCACGGCATCGTCACCAACTGGGATGACATGGAGAAGGTAAAACGGACCTTCAGAGCCTGAAGGTCTAGTAAAGGCTTTAACCTGCAGTTTTGGTTGACATTTGAAGATCAGACTGATTTTAAACTTTAACTTCTGGGATTGAAGATGCTTTTATGCTTAAATGGCCCCAATTTCTGGCACTCTGACAAAAACTTGTCTCTTTTTGCTTTAAGATCTGGCATCATACCTTCTACAACGAGCTCCGTGTGGCTCCTGAGGAGCATCCTGTCCTCCTGACAGAGGCTCCTCTCAACCCCAAAGCTAACCGGGAGAAGATGACCCAGGTGAGTTCAGGAAAGTCCAGATCCCTGAAGCTTACTTTGATCTTCCGAACCATTAAACCGTTCTCCTTCTGGTCCAGATCATGTTTGAGACCTTCAACACACCTGCCATGTACGTGGCCATCCAGGCTGTGCTATCTCTGTATGCTTCTGGACGAACCACAGGTTGGTGGACATGCAGAAGCTCTGATCTGACCCTGGTTCCTAACATCTGGTACTGATGCCGAGTTGTGGTTTATTTGACCTGCAGGTATCGTGATGGACTCTGGAGATGGTGTCAGCCATACTGTCCCCATCTACGAGGGCTACGCTCTGCCTCACGCCATCCTCCGTCTGGACCTGGCTGGCAGGGACCTGACGGACTATCTGATGAAGATCCTGACTGAGAGAGGCTACAGCTTCACCACCACTGGTAGGAAGAACCTTCTCCTGAATCTGATTCAGACCCGAGATCTAGAGTTGACATCTCCTCCTGGCTTCCAGCTGAGCGTGAGATTGTCCGTGACATCAAGGAGAAGCTCTGCTACGTGGCTCTAGACTTTGAGCAGGAGATGCAGACCGCAGCCTCCTCTTCCTCCCTGGAGAAGAGCTACGAGCTTCCTGATGGACAGGTCATCACCATCGGCAACGAGAGGTTCCGCTGCCCGGAGGCGCTCTTCCAGCCTTCCTTCATCGGTGTGTAAAGAACCTGAGCTTTTATTCTGAAACTTCAGACCGAACTACCTGGGTTCGGGTTCCTGTTTGGCGTTTAAAGCTTAAGGAACTGTTTGTCCCCCTCAGGTATGGAGTCTGCTGGGATCCACGAGACCACCTACAACAGCATCATGAAGTGTGACGTGGACATCCGTAAGGACCTGTACGCCAACACGGTTCTGTCCGGTGGAACCACCATGTACCCTGGAATCGCTGACCGCATGCAGAAGGAGATCACCGCCCTGGCCCCTCCCACCATGAAGATCAAGGTAACTTGACCTCTACATTGGAGAAGCTTTACTGACCCTCCATGCTACCTGTTCAGCTTTTGGCCTTCAGCGCACCTGGAAGACTTCTCGACCTGCATCTCGGATCTAGAAGCTGTAAAAATCAGAATCAGGAGTTTGAAGTGAACCAAAAGTTTCTTAAGATCTCGAAGCTAAAAATCAAACTTGTGTAGTTTTATTTAAAGATTAAAATTCCCATAATGCACTGCACTTGGGCTTTTGTGACGGCATGAATTGGAAGCTAAACTCTGAATTTGTTATCTTAACTAAAACTTTCTCTCTCCCAGATCATTGCTCCCCCCGAGAGGAAGTACTCCGTCTGGATCGGTGGCTCCATCCTGGCCTCCCTCTCCACCTTCCAGCAGATGTGGATCAGCAAACAGGAGTACGACGAGTCCGGCCCCGCCATCGTCCACCGCAAGTGCTTCTAAGCTGCCCCATCCCCTCTGCCCCAGAGGAGTGTTGCTTCCTCTTGTGTGAACAGACTGAAACACTCGTCATACAAGATGAATCTGCAAAATTTGACCAACATTTCGGGTCAGAAGAATCCAGACCTGTGGTTCCAGAGGTGTTGTGCTCCTGGATGGGTTCACTGAAACATGTTAAACCTCCTAGCGGGAACAGGAATGTTCTCTGGTGGTCTGAAAGTTGGTCACTGTTGCTCCTGAAGCATGAAACCTGACCTTTGACCTAAATAAACATATTTGTTTACACAATGTACCTTTGATCCGGTAGTTCTCTTTTGCATCACCCCCACCCTCAAACATTTTTGATTTGTTACACCTCATGCTCTGACACCACTCATTGCTCCTCATGGGGGTCCAGGACTCTGGAAGGCCATGTATTTAACTGGAGATCTACAAGGTGTGTAGTTGCCCCTTACTTGGCTTCACCAGCAGTGTTGGGAGTAAAGCAGTAAAAAAGTAATTACTGTAATGCGATGCTTTTTGCTATAATGTGGTAATATAAGGCATTACAGGGAAGGAAAATGGTAATATTTACCTGGTACAACAGTAACGCGGTAATTACAATCAATATTTAAGCCCAGAATTAAGATGTGGGTTTCCTAAAAATTCGAATAGAAAGCCTGAAAAAAGATCCAGTATCCACATATATGACGTCATTTATGGACTCAGCTTTGCGGGCATTCTATGAGCAGAGAGGATGCAGCGGTAACGGCTCAAATACTCCAGCTGTGTCCTGCGCGCGGCTGCTGTTATATTCACAAAATCGCTCCACCAAAACAAAGTCATTCATTTGTGATCGTTTATATCAGCCCATATTCTCTGGTACTTCATGTACTTTTCAGCTGAGTTCATAATCTGTGCCCCGGTGATTTCAACTCATTGCTGCTGGAGCGCTGCGCAGATTAAGGTTTTTTTTTTTTAGTTCGGTAGATCCCTTTGGCTGATTAGTTAGAAAGTAGGAAATCTAGAAAACAGTTTTTCTGGAAGACGGAGAAAACATGCAGCATGCAGGAAGGTTAGAGAGAGAAAGGGCCGGAAATTATTCAAATATCAAAACAAAAAGTGCTTGAAAAGAAAAAAAGTAGGTAGATTTATCCCCAATACACATTTTTTACCAGTGAAAAGCAATAATATATAAGCATTTAATATTTATACATGTGATAGAATCAGATCACCCCACAAGTCAGTCCCACATCCAGGGCCGTATCAAGGCATTTGGGGACCAAGGCAAATATAGGCTTGGAGCCCCCACCACCTCACTCCCTGCTCAGTTAATATAAGATGGCAGCGTGCTGAGAGCACAGATTGTTGTTGCTTTTATTTAATAAACAATCATTTTAAAGCACTGTTATATCTGACTGTTTTTAACAGCAATCCTAGCTCAGACACCACATCACCTTCCACATATATGTCATGAGCTCACTGACGACCTGTTCTACTGAAGGTGAATCCTCCTGAGAACATTCATGTGTTCATCTACAGCTCCCTCTGAGGCAGACTCTGATAAACATAAACCAGAACAAATATCACCAAGAACAACAAAGCAAACCAAGCATAACTCCACTTCCTTCTCTTCTGATAAAACTCCTCCTGGAGTCTTGTGCTCCTGCTCTTCTCCTCATCCCTGTTCCTCTTGGTCTCCTCCAGGTTCTGCTTTAGGTCCTGGTATCTTTGCTCCCAGATCTGATTCTTCTCCTTTTCCCAGACATCTCGGTCTCTCTTCACCTCCCGTCTCAGCTGCTCCAGCTTCTTCTCGGTGTTCTCCTTCCGCTCTTTTTCCAGCTGGGATCTTCTCTCTGCAGCTTCCAGTTTTAGTTTCCACTCGAGTCTCTGAGCTTCCTCCTGTTTTTTACGTTTCTTTTCTTCTTCGTCTCGTTCTCTCTTCCTGTTCACTCGCTCCTTCTCCATGGTTTCATCTTTTTCTTTCAGCTTTTGGATTTTCTCTTTTCTTTCATGTTCAAATTGGGCCTTTAGAGTCTTCAGAGTTTCTTTGTGTTTTTCCTTTAGGTTTTCCTCCGCTTCCTCCCTCTCTTTTCTCTCTCTCTCTGTAGCTCCTTCAGCAGATGTTCTCTCTGAACATCTCCTGCCTCGTTCTTCTGCCTCTCAGCCTGCAGATCAGCCAGAAGTTTAGAAACTTTCTCAGAGAAAGCTCTGGAGAAGATTCGGGTTGAGAAACATCTGGGCCCTTCGGCACTCATCGTTTCTACCTTCTCCAACAGATCTGGGACCTGCTGCTGGTTCCTGATGTTGAGAACAACAGATCTTCCTCCACAGCTCTCAAGGAGCTCCTGGATGTCTCTGTCTCTTTCTACAGACTCAACAACAGCTGGAGCTGTGGGATCTGAGTCCACGGTGAACAGAATCATGGTGAAGTCGTCCACTCCAGAGCTGAATGTGTCCTGGATGGTCTGTAACTCTCCCTTGTCTTCATCAGTGAGGGGACCCACATGCAGGACCAGGAGGAAGGCATGGACACCCTCAGGATCACAGAGGGAGATACACCTGAATGACTCCTCCATCACTTCCTGCGGAGCTTTTCCATACAAGGCAGGCAGCTCCACCAGAGAAAGCCACCGTCTACACACCTCTCCCTGGTTCCTAACACACTCTGAGGAGCTGGAGACCCACTGAAGCTCCGTCTGACCTAAGATGACCTTGGCTGCTGAGGTCTTCCCGGCTCCTCTCCTCCCACACAGGACCAGGTTTAGATGACGTCTGGGTTTTGACTTCGTGGTTGTTGATCCTGCTCCCTCCGTCCTGTGCTCAGACACTGACAAAAGTAAAAATGTAAAGGTAGATAAGTGTTTTCATCATAAACCCGGTTAGAAAACTCTTCTTCTCCTCAGAACTAGACTTCCTTAAGGAGTCCAGACTGTTTCAGATGATTCAACATCAAAAACAAAACCAGACGACGGAGAAACCGATGAGACGCGTCTTTGCTGAAGTCTCAGTTTATGTGCTTGAAATGTGGTTTTGAAAAGAAAACAGGAATTCTTTAAAGGAAATATTGGAACGTTTAAAAATGTTCTTGTTGCCATGGAAACACGTAATCAGTCTGATGAGGACACACAGACATCGTTAGGGTCGGAAATCAGAATGAAGGATTCTGACCCAGTTTGGTTCTTATTAATAGTAATTAATTAATTGATTAATTAATTAATTAATGCCAAGTCATGGACTCCAGAACTCACCTGTTGATAATAATAAGCTGCTACAGTATAGACACAACTACCCTGACACACATTAGAATAGAATAGAATAGAATAGAACAGCCCTTTATTGTCCCTCAGTGAGGAAATGATGGTGTCACAGCAGCAAAGAGGCGAGTAAAATATCAAGATTAAAGAGCTGCAAGAAAACAAAACATGAATACTGAAAAGATTCAACATTCAAACAAAGAACATGAAAACATTTACAAAAATAAAAATATAAAACCAGAAGAATTGATCTTTAAACATCTTTGGTGTGTTGAAATTCTAATTCCATCTTTTAGTTCTTTTTAAAAGACAGAAGAACGGATGTTAACATAACACTTACTGTCTGGGGGTAAGAACTCGAAGCTCTTGGACGTTTTCAGTGGTTGCAGACATTCTGTCTCTGCAGAGATGATCAAACACAGACATTAAACCTCTAACTAAGGCTAATCGTTAACCATTTAAAGAATATCAGCTACATTAAACTAAGCCCTGTAGAGATCACATCCCTCTTAAACTGGTAGATTATCTCAGTGGTTACTGACAACATTTAGTTTTATAATGTTTACAATATAATGTATGGGGAGAAAAAAGTCTCAAAAGATCTGTGTGTGTGTGTGTCTGGATTTGTGTCGTGCCTCCTCTCCTTTTGAACCCTTTTTTTTTTCCAGTCAGAGAACCACTCTGCCATTTATTAGTCATTTTTTATAACCCTTTCACTGTCTTCATGGCTCACAAACATATATATGTCTAAATAAACAATTTTAGATGATTAAAAATTAAATGTAGGTCCATCTCATATAACTACAGGATCCTGAGATACTCTATTTTTCCACAGAAAAACATATTTACCCCGTCAACACAAATTTAGACTAATTCCAAAGGAAATTCTAATTTCCCAGCTTCCACCCAGAATTCAAACGCACCATGTACGCACAAATCAGTCAGGTGTGAAAAGAGTCTCAAAAGGATTTTTGTACTTGTAAACTGATCTGTGTGTAATGTAGTTTTGTCCGTGTGTACCACGTGATGTGTGTGTGTGTGTGTTTTCAATGATTTGTATGTGTAGGAGCTGAAGTTACACACGAAAATGTTAACACAAGTTACAAATCAAGAGTTGCACGCACACAAATTTAGACACACACACACACACAAATCTTTCTCCCCATAATAATGTAATATAATATAACATAATATAATATAACATAATATACCGGTAATATAATGTAATGTACTGTAATATAATATAATATAATATAATATAATATAATATAATGTAATTTACTGTAATATAATATAATATAATATAATGTAATGTAATTTACTGTAATATAATGTAATGTACTGTAATATAATACAATATAATATTATATAATATAATGTAATGTAATTTACTTTAACATAATGTAATGTAATATAATATAATGTACTGTAATATAATATAATATAATATAATATAATATAATATAATATAATGTAATGTAATTTACTGTAATATAATGTAATGTAATATAAAATAATATAATATAATGTACTGTAATATAATACAATATAATATAATATTATATTATATAATGTAATGTAATTTACTGTAATATAATGTAATATAATATAATGTAATGTAATATAATATAATATAATATAATATAATATAATATAATATAATATAATATAATACAATATAATATAATATTATATTATATTATATTATATAATGTAATGTAATTTACTGTAATATAATGTAATATAATATAATGTAATGTAATGTAATATAATATAATATAATATAATATAATATAATATAATATAATATAAAGACATACTATGAAACGTTAAAACTGTATCAGAACCAGTTAAACCTACTGGTGATGAGGCAAGGACAACTCCCACTGGGTCTCAGACATTTCTGTCTGCCTCCTTCAGCAAAATTTATTAAACCATAAAGTTTTTGTTATTTTATCAAATCATAAGTCCAACACTTAATCACACCATGACTTAAAACATTTAAACTTGTAACATTTCAAACCCAAACAACAAACTATTAACATGATTTTCTGACTGAAATATTATTTATCATCATAATAAAGTTCTAAAAGCTACTGTTTATGTACAGAAGTAAAGAAATTACTGCATAAATCACATTACAGTATTTCAAACCAAACATAACAGCACACTTCTAAATGAAACACATGTAAGCTGTTGCAACAATGAAGAATCCTAAAAATGTATTAAACACAACAATGAACTGACGATGAGCTGATTTAGGCTGTTTCTGGTAATGTAGCGCCTCCCGCTGGACAATATGAGGTTCTGAAGCTGAAGAATATTTGGTTTTATTAAAGAGGAGATTTTGACCTTTGACCTGAACCAGATAAGCAGGTGTTTATCTACCTGATGTTACTCACCTGGATGGGCTGCAGCAGCCATGATGTCATCAGACAAGCTCAACAGGAGATCCCTGGAAAAACACACTAGATCTAAATAATAATAACAATAATAATAATAATAATAATAATAATAATAATAATAATATGTTCTGAATAATGTTTACATTTATTTAATTTCTGATTTTTATTCTAAATTCTGATGAATTGCATTACAGTATCAGAAGAATGTTTATTATAAATCAAATGAAACTAAAATCTAACAGATTTATAGATTTAATGATGTAATTATCATGAGTCCATCCTGGCTGACCCGGTCAGGAGGGTTTCTGATGTTTCCTGCTGATCATCACTGTTTCAGGTTCATCTGCAGATCCAAAACCAATCTCCTTCCCTCGTCTTCTCATCTGCAGGAATAACAACATAAACGGTTCAGAACCAGCTGATCAGACAGAATCAAATCAAATCAAATCAAATCAAAGCTTTATTTATAAAGTGCCTTCCCTGTCGGGAAGCCCAAGGCGCTGAACACAGTACATGAGAAATGTGAAACACGATGAATAAATCGATAATAATCGCCTCTGTCAGTGCGCCCCAGGGCAGCTGTGGCTACATCGTAGCTCATCACCATCAGTGTGTAAATGTGTGTGTGAATGGATGAATGATACACTGTAGTGTAAAGCGCCTTGGAGTCCTTACTCTGAGAGGCGCTCTACAAGTGCGGGTCATTTATCATTCATTCATTTATCATAAAAGTGTAACGGAATGAAATGACTGTTTTCCACCTAAAAGCCCCCCCCCCCCCCCCACACACACACACACACACAGCAAGGACTAGTCTGCATGAGATGTGGCCTCAAGGTCTCATGCATTTGCTTCTAAACTGTTTTCCTTTCCAGCTCAAGGGAAGAATGAAGAAAGGACTCTCTCCTTTAATAAATCAAAGAACTCTATTTTTAATAAGCTAATCAAACAAAGTGCTAGTCAATAATAAAATGTGAACCAATTTGTGAAATGAAAATATTAATTACTTGATATTGTAATCCTACAGAATACAATAAGTAATGTAACTTTAAATGTTTCCACTAGGACTGATCTCACGTAGCGTTAAGCCACATGACACATTGCTTTTACTGACCCAATCAGAATCTGCCAGATCTGACGGAGGCGTGGTTTTGGTGGTGCTTGGTAAATCTGTCATCTTTTCATTTGACCATAAACCAAAACATCCGAAGAATAAAACTATGCCCACGCCAGTTCAAAGCGTTCTAGAGAAGTTGTCGGAGTGGCTAATCCGTAACTTTCCTCTTCAGCCGAAAGAACCAACGACAAGCTGGATTAAATCTGTTGCATTTTACCAACCAAGCAACGGTTCCTTTCAGAATAAAAGCTGAACTCATTGACCCTCTGGGTCCATCTGACGCTGTCAACCAACTGTCGCTTTTTAGACAATCCAAAGACTAGTCTGTCGTACTGCTGACGCTGTTTCATCGGCTCCGGTACCGAAAGGGGGGTCCGAGGACCTGGCATTCTGGATCTGTACGGAGGTCTCATCCTGAAGGGTACGTGTAGAGCGACAAAAATGGCGTCTTATGTGTGTTATGAAACTCCAAATCAAAGCTTAGCGCGAAGACATCACCTTCACTCCCATCAGAACTAATCGTTTCTCCGGATTTGCTGGTTCTGAGCAACATTCCACACTCCATCTCATTCACCTTAGTTACACCATACATTTAGTGTTTAAAGTTAGTCTAGTTTTAATTTGTTTAGTGATAAATCTTTAAACTTTTAAAACTTGACTTTCTCTCTTCTGTTGTCTCTGAGTGAATACGAAGTGTTGCATAATCCCTGCAATAAAAAGTTCCAATCTTCTGGTTAAAAGTACCCAAAGATCCATGAGATTGATTCCCTATTTCCTATGGAATCTCATGTCTCATGGTTCATTAAATAACATGTAAGTTAACCCTTTACAAAAGCAATTCAAATAGTGCAAAAAAGGTAAAACATTAAAGTAGAAACAAATGGGTAAAACAAGGAATAAAGAGACCAATGAAAACAGGAAAATGAAATCATCATAAAAGAGGGCCGACCTCAAACACGTTCAGGGAACCCCAGGCGGAAGAGGTGGGTTTTTCGGTGACTCCAGGGTTTGTAGACACAACAGATTGCGTCTGATGCGGTTTTATTAATAATCAACTCTCTAGTTTTTTGTTGTGTGTCGGGGTGAGTACTCCTCCTTCTCTACAACATCTTTGTGAGAACTTCATTCCAGGAGAGGGCACTGCCGCGGGGCATTACCAATCAGCGGCAGCTGCAGATCCTAAGAGGAGAGGGAACTACTTCACATCGCTGGATGATTAGCTACTCACGGTAGTATCTTGTCTCTCTCAAGTCTTGGGTTATGCTTGGTCTCTGCTCAGACATTTTTGCTGTTGCAGTATTTGGATGTATTTGGATTTTTTCTTGGATTCTTGTGTTTGGACCATTTTGGACTCAAGTTTGTGTTCCTCTTCAGGATACTTGGAAACGCTGAACCATCGATGGAATATACCTACCTGGAACTCACCATAACCCGCCTGGACAACAACTCTCACGGTTCGCCTCTCCTCCTGTTCCTCCTATCCTCTGCCGCCATCGTCTGGCTCCCTCTCCTGGACGCACCCCGTCACACCATCTGCCCTCCCTACTGACTTCTGGACTCTTTCTGGCTTCATTGTACTTGGATATCTCCAGGACACTTTTAGTTAGGTTTAATAAATCATTGTTTGAACTTTCTGCCGTTGTTTTGTGATTCTTCATGTCGTGGGTTAAACACCTTCCCAGGGACATGACAGTTTTTAGCAGACAACAAACTATTTTACACCCAGATTTCACAATTTCTTTCTGATACAAAGACTCTGATAAAAATCTAGCTTACATCACACCACCTACACATCACCGCATATCCACCACATCAATTCTCATTATTCATATTTTGTCATGTATTATCATTAGTTTAGAAAAGAATAAAATTCCTTTTTAACTATATACTGACTCTGTCCGAATTAATAGGAAGTGTGTTTGTGGTCCATGAACAAGCAAAGAACCCTAGAATCTTCTGATCAAACATTCAAAGATCAATCAGATTGATATTTCATATTTACATGGAATCATCACATGCTGGTCATAATTAATTTGTAATGGTATTCTGCCGAAGGATTTAAAATTTTTAGCGATTTAAACCGAACGTCTGGACTCATCGATCCAGGCCTGCTAGCGTGGTAAGCAAAGCTAGCATTGCTTACGTTAAGCATGGTTAGCTACCACCACTGAATCAGATTCAGCTGTGCTATCAGCCGTCTGTCACAGCGACTGTCTGCATCTCTACTCGCTATTCCTACGGGGTAAAGCTCCGGCGTTTTTAGCCGTGTTTAGACCTCTGCTACCGAGAGACAATCTCTCTCTACCCGGCGATCTTGCCATTTTGGCTCTGACCACGAAGCGGCTAAGCTTCCTCCACAGGCTCCCCTAACGCGACTGTACGAACCTGGGCCCTCTTCAGGTATTGCGCTCTGAGAGCGCCCATGACTGTTATTGACTAACTACCGCCTGTTCACACAAACGATTTTTGTAAAATTTGACCCCGCAATGACGTATACTCAGAAACTGATGAATGCCTTTGGCAACCTCTCAGAAACCGGGGCCCACTGGACCCGTACAATGACATGGCACTCGGAAGCTGATGTCTCTCACATACTACTCCAGGCGCTACAATCCACGGTTTCAAATAATGATCTTTCAGGTACCCATGTTAGAGTGAACCATTTCCTGCAAGAGTTCTTCTCATTGGCTAGTACAATTGGTTCTCATTTGAATTTCGGGTTCTCAACAGCCAACACGGTGGAGATCAACACAGTTCGACGCCACGTTGATGAGCTTCACAGAGAATACCCGTCTCTGCGTAAGCGAGTACTGCAACAATGGGTGTGTGTTGTATAGATGAGTTGTCTAGTGTCATGGTCTGGGTTTTTTTCCTCCTGCCATTTGCTAAGTGGTTTTGAGTCTCCTTCTGCAGGTGGGCGTGTCTGGAGGTGGCCAAGCTGCAGATCATCAGCTCATCAGCCGGCCACGGAGTATTTAAGCAGCTGAGAGACGCCATCACTTCGCTGGATAATTACTCTACCTGGGTACCTTCTAACAGCCACCTTGAGAATCACATATTCGAGTATTTTAGCCTTTGAGCATTTGTTGTATTTTTGGACTTTGGATTTTGCATTTTTGATCTCCTGCTGGGTTCCTGAAGTCCTGTGATGACTTTGTCTATAACAGTTAAAGGCGAGTAATCCGCTAACTGTTGTGTTGATCCAAATTCCATTTTCTTAAATTTTCCAATTCTTAGATCCTTTGGGGGTTTTCAATATTTTCACATAATTTTAACTGATTTAAGTTCCGTTTTGAGTCAACTTTACATTACTAATCTCCGATTCCTTATGTGGTACATTCACATATAGGTTTGATTACTGACACTGATTAACTTCTTGTGTTTCATCTTTTATTTGATTTTTGATTCTTTTTAAGAATACATTTATTTACATAAATATTTGCAATACGCTGATTACCATTGATTCATTTTTTTTACAACACATACATGATTTCCTTTGATTTAGGACTTAATTTTTGCCAGTTGTGACTTGGCAACAAGACCTTCAAATGTCTATTTCTGAATCCGACTGGGATGATGTTCTGAAGAAAACCCACTCATCCTCCATTTGTGCAAGACACTGCTCAATTCAGTTTAAAGTAGTGCACAGAGTACATCTTAGTAAGTCAGAACTGGCAAAGACGTACCCCCAAAATGACCCTGCCTGTTGAATCAGCAGAGGCTGCTTTAGGCCCTGTCCGCACGTAGCCGGGGATCTGCCAAAACGTAGATATTTTTCTACGTTTTGACCTGTCATCCAGACGAAAACGGAGTTTTTTCACACGAAAACGGATCTTTTTAAAAACTCCGGCCAAAGTGAAGATCTGCGTTTTCTCCGTTTTGGGTGTCTGCGTGTGGACAGACAAAACCGGAGTTTTAAGGTCTGCAACGTCACTTTCCGCAACAAAAAAATGCTGACATCACGTGTGCGACCTGTGTTTACACTAGCCGACAGCATGGATGCCCTCAGAGCTGCGCTCGCTTTATCAATTGTCCAAGCGCTTTTTGTTTGTTTGTTTTTGCAAGCGGAATTACTGCTCCTCGCGGAAGACCACAGACGAAGGACGAGGTTTAGAACGGGGGAAGTACTGCCGCCTACAGGTCTGGCATGTCCTTAACAACGTATTTATCCGGGTACGTGTGGACAGAGTTTTTTTTTAAAACGAGGTGGTGTGGATGCAAGTTTTTGGAGGGGCGGATATTCGTTTTTAAAGAAAAACGGCTTCGTGTGGACTAGGCCTTAGTCCACATGTTCTGGTCCTGTCCCCAAACGCAGTCGAATATACTGGGAGGTAGAGTCCCACCTGACCCCTTTTTATTTCTTTTTGGGGTTAAAACTGAGGGTCACCATCTGGGAGTGGTAAATCGTTGCTGTTTCAACTTTGCTGGCACGACGTCTGTTACTACTGAAGTGGAAAGATGCTGCTTCACCTACAATAGCACGTTGGATGAAAGATGTTTTACTTCATGAGGAGAAAAAATTCTCAAAAGATCTCTGTGTGTGTATGTCTACATTTGTGTGTATATCTAGAATTGTGTTGTGCCTCCTCTCCTTTTGAACCCTGCTTTTTTCCAGTCAGAGAACCACTCTGCCATTCATTAGTTATTTCTTATAAACCATGTTGTGTTGTGTGCAGGTTTAATAATAACTGTGTAAATGTGTCTCCAACAAAGGATTTTATTAAACACAAAGAGACTATACATACAAAAGGGAAAACAGGTTTGCATAAAGCGCCAAGCCAAAAGGGCTGGGAGGAGGGAAACTAACTAACTGAAATACTCTTTTACAAAAAAACAACAACACTAAACTAACGAGAGCCGTCCTGTTAAGCAGAGACGCTCGGGGGAAATCCAAAAGCGGAGTCGAAGGTCAGTCCAAAGTCAAAGTTACCAAAAATCCTACCGAACGAGAGTCTAAATCACCAAAGTAACACGAAGCTAAACACACAAGCACACGAGGAGAAGAGAGAAGCCTGAACACCTTCGTGCCCACACTTCCCTGTACCTTCTCCCAGACTGAGGTAAAAACTCTGCACTGTATTTTAATTTAAATCTGCCACCGCTATTGGCTAAGAGGTATGCTATGATGTCATCTGGTACATTATGATGTCACAATGCTGTCGTGAGCCTGTGTGTGTGTGTATTTGTTAGCAGCTCCGACCTCTCGGTCTGCCAGGCAACAGCATTTGTTGCATTTTTCAAAATGAAGTGGGAGTGGAGTTAGACTCTGGTAGGGGTTGACTTGCTCTTTAATAACTACAGGATCCTGAGATATCCTATTTTTCCACAGAAAAAAACATATTTGTCCCATCAACACAAATTTAGACTAATTCCAAAGGAAATTCAAATTTCCCAGCTTCCACCCAGAATTCAAACGCACCATGGACGCACAAATCAGTCAGGTGTGAAAAGAGACTCAATAGGATTTTTGTACTTATAAACTGATCTGTGTGTAATGTAGTTTTGTCCGTGTGTACCACGTGATGTGTGTGTGTGTGTATTCTATGATTTGTATGTGTAGGAGCTGAAGTTACACACGAAAATGTAAACACAAGTTCCAAATCAAGAGTTGCACACACACAAATTTAGACACACACGCACAAATCTTTTGAGACTGTTTTCTCCCCCATATAACTCCCTCTTAAAGGGTTCTGTAATAGAGCTCTACGAGGTTTGGAGGCCTTTTATTTTCTTTTTTCATCAAGCAACTACAGAGGTGCAAGGCGATCTTATGGTTAGTGTAATATTGGCTGACAGTTATGAAAGCGCAACTTTGGGGTGTGTGAAATTATTTTTATTTGACTGATAGTGAACACGAGTTTTCTTTCTTTCTTTCTTTCTTTCTTTCTTTCTTTCTTTCTTTCTTTCTTTCTTTCTTTCTTTCTTTCTTTCTTTCTTTCTTTCTTTCTGTATTTTTGTGTTTTTTTATTTTTTCTTCCTGAAAATCAATCAATAAATATATTGAACCTTAAAAATTTCACAATTATTCTAATATTATATTTTAATTCTGTTCACCTAATTAAAAAAAAGAATTACCTGGAGAAGAGAGCTTCCTGGAACATCAGATGAGTTGTAATGAGGAGCAAAGGTCTTACGGTTTATTGGAGCAGCTTCAGTTCTGATAAGAGGATAAAAAACATTGTCTTTGCTATTTGTTAATGTTCACACACACACACACACACACACACACACACACACACACACACACACACACACACACACACACACACACACACACACACACACACCACTGCTGTTGCAAAGACATCAGGAAAACACTCAATAATATTACTGATCAACAGGAAGTGATAACTCTATAAACTCTTTCCCAGAATCCTCACTGCTTCTCCTCTCAGTTTTGATACATTTTCACAATAAAATGTCAGTAAAACCAGAACCAGAACCAGAACCTGAGCGGAGCGGAGATAGCGGAAAAATTCCAGAAACGCTCCTCTAGACTCATCCATGCAGATCCTTCTAGAGGCTGTTGAACACGTTTACATCTGAAATCTACAGAGTTTCTTGAGTCTTTCATGAGGTCAGTTAAAAACTCACCTGTTCGTTCCCGTGTCACCTGTGGCAATGATGCCATCAGGAAACCGAAAGTATACAAGGGCGGGGCCAAGAATGTAGCGCGTGTGGGAGTGCACGTTAGTGGTTATTTAAAATTTTTCTTCCCGAAAATCAATCAATAAATATATTAAACCTTAAAATGATTCTAATGGTAAATTTTAATTGTTGTGTTCTGGGAGCAAATCTGTACACCTGATTCAAAAACAAGAATTACCTGGAGAGGAGGAGCTTCCTGGAACATCAGGTGAAAGGAACAAAGGTCTTAAGGTGGAATGACTGGCTTACTGTTACCTTTGATTCCTTCCCTGCAGGTTAAGAGTCTGGGTGTCATCCTTGACACCCAGACTCTTTCATTTCAATCCCACATCGATGACATCACTGGGTCTGCCTACTTTCACCTGTACAATGTCAATCACCTTCGCCCCTCTCTCACCCCCCACTCTGCTTCCATACTTGTTCACAGCCTCGTCACCTCAAGAATCGACTACTGCTATTCACTCCTCTTTGGTTTACCACAAAGGTCCACCCATAAGCTCCAGCTGGTCCAGAACTCTGCTGCACGCATCATTTCTAAAGCCCAGTGAGTCACCACATCAGCCCTGTCCTGCAACCGCTTCACTGGCTTCCCGTTAGACGACGCGTAGACTTCTAAATCCTTCTCCTCACATTTAAAGCTATCCACAACCTGTCTCCCCCATACCTGTCTGACCTCATTCACATTATCGCTCCCATCTGTTCCCTCAGATCCTCATCCTCTGTCACTCTCTCTGCCCCACCTTTCCGTCTCAGCACTATGGGGAGCAGAGCTGCTCTGCTCCCCGTCTCTCCTCCTTTAAACATGGACTCAAACCCACCAGTTTCAGACTGCATGCTGCTAGTGTCACCTTTTCCATCTTCGTTGATTTTAGTATCTAGTTTGTATTTTTAGGCTTCTGTGTGTGATTTTTTACATTTTTAACTTGGTTTCTTTGTTATTTTATTGCTGTAAAATGTCCTTGTGTCCCTTGAAAGGTGCTTTTAAATAAAATGCATTATTGTTATTATTAGTGGCAATATAAAACACACACACACACACACACACACACACACACACACACACACACACACACACACACATTAGTGAAAGGACAGAGGAGGACGTGCAGAACCAGATGTTTCTAGATGATTTGATGCAGAACTCTGCTTCATTCGGTCCAAGTTTAATGTTGCTTATTTTCATTGAAGGGAAACTTTTGATAATCTGCAAACTCCATGCAGGAAGATTTGAACCCGCAACCTTCTCACTGCAGCCACCAACTGCCTAACCAAGCATGACTAAAATATTCACAACTGATGATAAAATAACCACGAGACAACCATGTTTGAAGATTTATTTATTGGTTATGACCGAAGATGAATTAATGAGCTTTCATGTAAATTCCATGGTGGGTCGTTAGGTTTTTACCGTGAGGCCGTGCTGGCGAGCGAACCGAGACCTGCCGCTCCAGCAGCAGCAGCTAGCCCCGCAGCCCCGGCAGCTTTTGCTTTCTCCACCTGCAAGAGGAAACCAATGTTTGGACATGAGCAACAAAAATAATTAATGCTCAAACGGAATAGCATTAGCTTCAAAAACACGTCACTGTTGACATGTGACTGCTGCTGTTGGCTAAAGGGGACACATGAGCAACATTCTGGTTATTTTTGTGCTGCCGTGTAGGTCAAACAGGAATAAAACCATTTTCTGTCAGGAACTATGTGATGGGGGTCTTTAATGACGATGGACCCTTGACTTACCTGTCGGGACACGGCCCTGCCGTTGCGCATCTCCGTGGCGAAGTGCTCACAGTTGTGGCTGAAGAGGTTATAAGACAGTTCAGAATCCACAAGATTGCAGGCCGCCTTCACGATGTCGTTGTTACAGCGAGGTGGACATTCCTCATCCAGGTAGTTGTTGATTCTCCATTTGGAGTCTCCCACAACGTTCTTCAGCTTCTCCTTCCTCACGGTGCCCTTCTGGTCCTTGTGAGGCATTGTGCTGACATCTGAAGCTCCCTCTTCAAACACAAACCACACAACGTAAAAGAAACAGTTGAAGGTCCCATATATTTGGCCTCAGTTTCATTTCACCTCAGGCTCTGATACTGAGTTAAAACAGGCAGGACTCACCAGAGGTGACTAAGTGAACCACGTTGCCCTCACCGATGTACACGGCCCAGTGCTTATAGGTGACACGGAAGATCTCAATCAGGTCTCCTGGTTTGGGTTGTTTTCCATCCTTGGATCCAAACAGAAAAAAAATCTGACAGCATCAAACTCTGTAAGCTCAGAAATAAAGCTGAGAAATACAGAAGTAAAAAGTGTTTTTAAATTTTCTTTTTTTCCTTCCATCCATCATCCTCCACTTATCCGGGGTCAGGTCGCGGGTCAGCAGCCTAAGCAGGGAGGCCCGGACTTCCCTCCCCAGCTTCCTGGACCAGCTACTCCGAGGAACCCCAAGGCGTTCCATGGTCAGCTGACAAACTAAAGCCCCTCCCACACCAGGCAGGCTCCACCCTGCACAGCCCACCCAGCCTGGGTCAGAAACTTTCTGTCTTCCTTTCTAAATGTGAGAGAGAATCAAACCCTTTCAACATGCTCCAATATAGTGTTGTGTGTTGATGAGGTGTATTCCATGGCTGTGGTGAGTGGGCAGTGTGGGCATTGTCTGGCCTATGCCAGCCGATGCCACCGCACCACCCCACTTGCACCCACAGCCCTCGGTGTCTAAGTGCAGTTTAAAATTGGAAGTGGGCACCGGCACTCAGGAGGAGGCTGAGAAATCCCCCTGCCAAGTGCTGTTGAATGTGCTCACTCCCAAGGCCCTAAGTGTGTGTTTGCGTGGAATGTCGTCGGTGGAAGTGTATAAGGTGCAAATAAAATTGGGGGGCAGGTTACCACAGGAATGCGGAAATGGGGTCCATACCCGCACTCCCTGACTTGTGCACCCCCCAAGGTCCCATGTGCATGTTTGTGTGATGATGTGAGGGAGCAGGAGGAAAAAAATATGTGGGGGTGGGGAGGAATGGCTGGTTGGGCTTAGCCCTCCAGGGAGCCAGCTCCCCGACTGGCCCCAGGCACCTCTGCTGTCAAAATGCCACACAGGGCATGGAGACCCCAGCCCATCCTTCCAGGGCCCAAAGCAGCAGCATTGCAGAGCCTCACGGAGTCCGTGGGCACCAACCCATCCCCACCCCAGCAGAATATCTATGCCCATCCCTGCATTTGCACAACTTCCAGAATATATGACATAGGACATCCAAGTAAGGTTGGGTCCTCCCCCTCCTGGAACTCCCCCTCCCCTGTGATGGGACAGCAGAGGAGCCAAGGTCTAACTGAGGCCCCTGAAACCAGGCCAGGCACTGCAAAATGTTCCTACCTTCTTCCCGGCAGCATACATGTCAGGACCCGAACCCCAAGGCCCCGCCCAGATCCCCACACGGGGCCGGCCACCCCCACACCCCGAGCCCCCAGGCCCCCACCCAGACCCGCCCAGGGGCAATGCAGCTGCCAGGCAGTGACCCATGGCCGCCGCCAAGACCTCCAAGGGGCCCCACTCACAACCACCAGTAGTCCACCCCCCGAGGCAACCCAAGCACCTCCAGAGGGGGGCAACGGCCCCCCCAGTCCCAGACACCCCCAGTGAACCCACCTCCAGGGAATGTTCGGATACTCCAAACTCAGACCCTCCACCCCCTCACCCACATCATCCCGCAGGACAATATCAATGGTCCCCCATCATCGCTATGTGATGGAACCGATCAAAGGAGCCCAGAGAGATTCATCTGAAGTGGAAGCAGAGGCTGTATCAAGTGTAATATGATCTAACAAAAGATTTCTATACTGGTTAATGCAGAGAGTTTCTCTATTTTTCCAATTCAAGAGGATAGTTTTCTTAGCGATGCATATGGCAGTCAGAACCACGTGAACCAAAGATGTTTCAATCGGGACATCGTCCATGTTTCCCAGTAAACAAAGAGAGGGGGTGGTTGGGATATGACATTTCAGACATTTTGACAGATCCTCACATACTCTACCCCAAAATTCCTGGACAGGTGGACAGGATCACAGTGCATGAATGTAATTGTCAGGAATGTTGTTTGTGCAGTGTGTACAGGTGTCAGATGACACAAACCTCATCTTGAACATCCGATGACCTGTATAGTGTACTCTGTGTAGAATTTTGTACTGAATTAATTGTAAATTGGGGTGTCTGATCATTTAAAAAGTTTATAAACAAGTTTGGGACCATAAGTTCTGGTCAAAGCTAACTGATAGATCCACCTCCCATTTTTCAATAGGGATTACTATTCTATCGTCTATTTTGGACAGTGTCTTATATACTTTAGACAGTAGTTTGGGGGGTTTGAGATTATAGAGGTCTAATACCCTTGGTGGTGTTTGTAATTCTATTTTATTGAGCTTAAATTTTTGTTTGACTACAGATTTAATTTGGTGATATTCTAAAAAGCTATTCTTATCCATTCCAAATTCGATTAAATGGGATGAAGTCCAATCCTTCATATATGTGTTCCAGGTATAGGATTCCTTTATTTTTCCAGTCCGGAAGGTTCATCATTTTATTATTTAGCAAAATATCAGGATTATTCCAGATAGGTGTGCGACTGCATGGTACTAGTGAAGACTCTGTCATTTTAAGATACTCCCACCATGCTGTCAGAGAGGTGCTGATACTAATACTTTTGAAGCTTTCATGTTTTCTTATGCTTGAGCTAATAAATGGTAAGTCTGAAAGCTCTATCGTATTGCAAAGTGTCTGTTCTATATCTAACCAGGACTCATCTAGTGGGTTATCTTGCAACCATCTTGGTATATATTGCAGCCTGTTGGCTAAGAAATAATAATAAAAGTTGGGCAGATCCAGTCCTCCTCTGTCTTTGGTCTTCTGAAGCGTTTTTAAGCTAATTCGTGGAGGTTTATCCTGCCAAAGGAATTTGGTAATTGAGGAGTCCAGAGATTTAAACCAGTCAGCTGGTGGTTTGTTTGGGATCATCAAAAATAAGTAATTTATTCTGGGTAAGACCATCATTTTAATTGTAGCAACTCTCCCCATGAGAGATATTGGTAAGGATTTCCATCTTGCAAGATCATCTTCCACTTTCTTTAAAAGTGGGATGTAGTTTAGTTTGGTTAGATCTGCTAACTTGGGAGAGACATTAATTCCCAGGTATGTGTTATTCCCTGACTCCAATTGCGTTTTAAGCAAACTGACAGAAGAGAAATTAATTGGTAGAACTGTGGATTTTAACCAGTTTATAGAGTAATCTGAAACTCTTGAAAAAGAGTTTATCAGTTCTATTGCTTGGGAGAGAGAGGATAGATAATTCTGGAGAAAGAGTAAAACATCATCTGCATAAAGACTGATCTTATGTTCTATTTTCTTACACTCTATCCCTTTAATATCTGCTGTTTGCCTAATTGCTGCTGCTAGTGGTTTGATAAAAATAGCAAACAGTGAGGGGGAGAGTGGGCATCCCTGCCTGGTCCCCCTCTGAAGAAAGAAGCTAGCTGATATTTGGTCGTTTGTCCTGACACGTGCTGTTGGTGAACTGTATAATGTTTGCAGCTAAAGGGGACACATGAGAAACATTCAGGATCTTTTTGTGCTGCTGTGTAGGTCAAACAGGAATAAAACCATTTTCTGTCAGGAACTATGTGATGGGGGTCTTTAATGACGATGGACCCTTGACTTACCTGTCGGGACACGACCCTGCCGTTGCGCATCTCCGTAGCGAAGTGCTTACAGTTGTAGCTGAGGGGGTTATAAGACAGTTCAGAATCCACAAGACTGCAGGCCGCCTTCACGATGTCGTTGTTACAGCGAGGTGGACGTTCCTTATCCAGGTAGTTGTTGATTCTCCATTTAGAGTCTCCCACAACGTCCTTCAGCTTCTCCTTCCTCACGGTGCCCTTCTGGTCCTTATGAGGCATTGTGCTGACATCTGAAGCTCCCTCTTCAAACACAAACCACACAACGTAAAAGAAACAGTTGAAGGTCCCATATATTTGGCCTCAGTTTCATTTCACCTCAGGCTCTGATACTGAGTTAAAACAGGCAGGACTCACCAGAGGTGACTAAGTGAACCACGTTGCCCTCACCGATGTACACGGCCCAGTGCTGATAGGTGACACGGAAGATCTCAATCAGGTCTCCTGGTTTGGGTTGTTTTCCATCCTTGGATCCAAACAGAAAAAAAAATCTGACAGCATCAAACTCTGTAAGCTCAGAAATAAAGCTGAGAAATACAGAAGTAAAAAGTGTTTTTAAATTTTCTTTTTTTCCTTCCATCCATCATCCTTCACTTATCCGGGGTCGGGTCGCGGGTCAGCAGCCTAAGCAGGGAGGCCCGGACTTCCCTCCCCAGCTTCCTGGACCAGCTACTCCGAGGAACCCCAAGGCATTCCCTGGTCAGCTGACAAACTAAAGCCCCTCCCACACCAGGCAGGCTCCACCCTGCACAGCCCACCCAGCCTGGGTCAGAACCTTTCTGTCTTCCTTTCTAAATGTGAGAGAGAATCAAACCCTTTTAACATGCTGCTGTTTCCTGTAAGGACCATTACAGTGGATACCTCATGCGTGACACTGAACCAAACTTTAGACTGAGAATGGTTGAGTAGAACCCAAAGGATTGTGGGTAAAGAACCAGAGATCTGTTCACCATCAGGTTAGAGACCGACTCACATGACAGCAGAAAGTGGTTTAATAATGTGGCTTTTAAGCTGTTTTATTCTGAAACTTCTGAGACAAACTGGATGTAACCGGTTACGGTGAAGGGAGAGCCGCTGGGTGGGGTCAGAGGAAACACGGCTGCTTTTACAAGAAATACAAATATGATCATCTTACCGTGTCTTTAAGTTCTTCATCTGCAAACTGCTGACGAGGCGGACCTGAAACAACAAGTCACTTTGGTTTTAAAGTCATTTATTTATTTATGAATAAATACCAGTAGCTGAAATTTTGAATGATTTGCCTTCATCATCAAAAACCACCTTTATGGATGATTTACACAGATTTGTCACACCATGTAAAGATGTTCGAAAAGACACGAGTCATATCTTTGTGCTTCTTGCTTTACGTGATGGTTAATTTTCTCTCTTGCTGAACCAAAACATTCCTCCTGAGTGTAAAAAGCGACGTGGCTGTAAACCTGATTCTGAATCAGAGTCTTGGTACTTTTTAGTTTTGTGTTCAAGAACGAAAAATGAAAAAGTAAAATGAGAGGAAACAGATTAAAGACCTTAAAAGGGTAAAAATAAGTTATTTATTTATTTTTATGGTTACACATAGAGGTCACTATTAATGAAGTGTAATTGTAATCCTCCTCACGACACATCCATATATGGTCAGAAGGTTTACTGGAATCAGAGGATGAATCACTAAGTTTACTGATGCTGATCTGTAGAGAGAAAAAGGTCTCAAAAGATCTGTGTGTGTGTGTGTGTGTGTGTGTGTGTGTGTGTGTGTGTGTGTGTGTGTGTGTGTGTGTGTGTGTGTGTGTGTATCTAGAATTGTGTCGTGCCTCCTCTCCTTTTGAACCCTGCTTTTTTCCAGTCAGAGAACCACTCTGCCATTTATTAGTCATTTCTTATAACCCTTTCACTGTTTTCATGGCTCACAAACACATATATGTCTAAATAAACAATTTTAGATTATTAAAAATTAAATGTAGGTCTATATTTTATAACTACAGGATCCTGAGATACTCTATTTTTCCACGAAAAAAACATATTTGTCCCGTCAACACAAATTTAGACTAATTCCAAAGGAAATTAAAATTTCCCAGCTTCCACCCAGCATTCAAACGCACCATGTACGCACAAATCAGTCAGGTGTGAAAAGAGTCTCAAAAAGATTTTTGTACTTGTAAACTTATCTGTGTGTAATGTAGTTTTGTCCGTGTGTAACACGTGATGTGTGTGTGTGTATTCAATGACTCATATGTGTAGGAGCTGAAGTTACACACGAAAATGTAAACACAAGTTGCAAATCAAGAGATACACGCGCACAAATTTAGAAACACCCGCACAGATCTTTTGAGACATTTTTCTCCCCATACTGATCTGATCGGTTTCCTCTACATCCGGAGCGGGCGCTGGGCAGGAAGCTACCGTGCTTCAGATCCAACCAACAGGAGGGTTTCAGTCACGTGGTTATTATTACGCGCGGATTTTGGTTGGAGGGCAGGAAGTAAACAGCAGAGCACAGCTATGGAGGAAACCGCAGAAGAGAGCCCTCATTGCATGTCTTTAGACTCAGTTTCGAAACAAAGGTACACGGATTTAACAAACAAATATGTTGGACGTGATCCGTATTTAATGAAAATGAGTGAGTTTACCCCAGAATTAACGGCTTGTTGATATTACAAAGTACCTGGTCCTTCAGACGTCGTTCTACACTAAACAACAAATGAAAGCATATAAAAGTCTGGAGGCACATAATTTTTTTGTTAGCGGGTGGGTCCACAACCTCGGTACTAAACGGCTCCGTGATGATTATCGCCTGGTATTCGCCAGGGTGAGTTTTTGTCTTTAGATTGATTTAGACGTAAATTTGTTAGCAGCTAGCCTAGCCTGCCAGACTCGTGCTCTGTTTAATTCTACTCAGACAACTATCATTCTGTGTAGAATTAAACAGAGTACGAGTCTGGCGGGCTAGGCTAGTTAGCAGCTAGGAGGATGCACTAATGTCAACACAAAGTAACAACGTCATTAGCCTGGCAGTCATTAGCCTGACGGTCGTTGATGTTTCAAGGTAAACCACTCACAACGATCGAGTGAAACACCTCTGAAGACGTGGATTATTTCAAGGGAAGATGGTGAAGTTATTGCAGCTCATTGCAACTGCATGGCAGGGTAAGTGATCTATGTAGGCTAAGATTGTTACTATGGGATTAGTGTTGTACATATAATATAGTGTTCTATTCACAGACTATCAGAGTCATGTTCTCATGTGGGGGCAGTCCTGTTCTCCGTTGAAGCCAGGGTGAGAATGCGAGACTCTGCTTCTTGTACATCTGAGCAGTGCAAGTGGTTGACGCCATCACATGTTAAAAAGGTAACAATAACCAGAGAATGTCATTTCTGATCAACATGGAAGACTAGGCTAACTATGAGATGTAAATCATTAGGTTGTGCCCTGTTGTTTATGACGTTGCTCTGGTTCAGTAATATTTTGTAGACAAGTTGATTACTTATCCTCGTCTACATTTTATTTTCTCAGAGAGGATATTAATCATGATTTTTTTAGACTCCTTTTAAATTTTACTTGTAGAAAATGCACACAGGGCTCACGCTCTCACCCCATTATGAGGAGGAGGATCATTTTTCAACTCGACTACCCGATTCTATCATCCCCTCTGGTGGAATATTCACAAACTTAGAGGAGTAAACAGTTTGTGCATTTAATCAAATATCAAGACCTACTGTAAGTTTTCAAAAACCATTCAAGCATGAGATAGAAACGGCTGCTGACTTGTCACTTCTTCCCCCTAGCGGATAGCAGCAAAAGCTGTGCTGCTTTGTATAATCGCATGGCTCCATGGACGTAATTTTCACTTTAGAAGTGGGGGGGGGGGGGGGGGGGAGACACGGGAGGGGGGGTGGGGGGGTGGGTGTGTTTACAGTATGCTCTAATTGGAAACAGCCTTCAACACAAACTGTTGTTTTCCGCTTGGTCCTAGAGCTCAACCAGTGTCAATTTAATATAGCGTAATGTTGCTTTTGGATGGTAAAAAATGCAGGGGTCAAAACTTGACTTTGGAAAAAGTGGGGGGGACATGTCCCCCCTGTCCCCCCCCCAAAATTACGTCCATGCATGGCTCTGTCTGCAATCGGGATTTTTCCAAGTTCAATCCCTGACCTCTTGTCAGCACAGTCTCTCCTCTTTGTAAACATTCTTTTATTGCCCCATAAAGGTTTTTGCTTCCTGGTTTGTATTCAGTGAAAAGTTATTTTGCTTGTGACATTTCAGTAAACCACAGCTTCTTTGTTGGGCAAAGAACTAGTACAGCCAAAATTAAATACCCGAATGCCCTTTTGGAACTCAGTCCTATGCTTTACCTGCAATGAGTGCCAGATTTTTTACAGCATTTAAGTGTGTTATAGACCCTAGAAATGTGTAGCCAGTTCAGGGCGGTGCCCTCACCAGAGACGGAGGCGAAGGGCATGATGGCGGGTAGGCGAAACTGGAAAAATAGAAACAGATTTTATTGTTTTCACATTTTTAAATAAACCTGCATTAGAACAGCTGATGAGCGGCAACTGGTTTTCTTAGGTGTGTTCTTGCTGTGTTGTGGTTCTAATTCTATGCTGTCGTTCTTTTTTGTAAAACACAGCAACAGTTTCGTTACCTGTTTTCCCACGCTACGTCTCGTCTACGGCTGCAGACTTCCTCAGCCACAGCCGCAGATGAAACGTAGCGCGGGAAAACAGGTAACGAAACTGTTTCTGTGTTTTAAAAAATGAACAACAGCATGGTAACTGTTTTTATTCAGCTGTTTAACTGGTTTGTGACACAGAGCTGACGTAAAGGACCATTTAGATATTTCTGCACATAACATTTAAATCTTTGTAGAATAAAACTAAAAAAAGCTAAAAGGTAAAAAGTAAAATATTAAAAATGCAGATTTATAAATTTACATGCATCTTTTTTATGTTGGATATACAAGAAATCTAGTTTCTATTCAAACAACTTTTATTAATAATATTAATTATCTAGTTTTTTCACAACATGAAATCTCTGATTTAAAAGTATTCAGTCGTAGTAAAGTTTACTCACCAGCTGAGTTCGGTTCTGAGTTCTGAGACGAATAAAGTGAAAGTGAAAACATTTCTTTTATGTACACACACATCTACGTCACCGATAAGCAGGCGTGGTTCAGGAAGAGGGACACAGAACAAGAATGAAAGTTTTTCAACTTTATAATCAGAAATATGTTTTATCTGCATCATTTTAACTCCTTTCTTTGTAGTAAAACTGAAGTAGAAGTTTTGTTTCCTGGACTGGGACAGGACTCAGAGTGCAGACGATAAACACACTTGACCTCCCTCACATCTGAGAAGCACAGCAGACTGCACTTCCTGAGGACGCTTAGGTCCTTCAGTGTCTGTAGCAAGATGCTGCAGATCTTCTACAAGTCTGTGGTTGAGAGTGTAATCTCTTCAGCCATCGTCTGTTGGGGTAGCAGCATCAGAAGCAGGGACCTGAAGAGGCTCAACAGCCTAATAACAAAGGCTGCTTCTGTTCTGGGGACAACTGTGGAACTGCTGGAGGAGATGATGCAGAGAAGGATTTTCCAGAGAATCAAGAAAATTATATATATATATATATATATATATATATATATATATATATATATATATATATATATATATATATATATATATATAAATGTGTGTGTGTGTTATCAAAAGTTGTTGCACCAAAGAAGCCAAGTACTCTTTACAGGAAGCAGTTTAAGTTACTTTGTCTTGTTTTAAGCTTCATGGATAAATCTGCACTAATTTGCAACTATAAATGTTCTGGTTTCTCTGAGTGAGGTCACAAAAACCAAACAGTTTCCATACCGTCATTTATTTATATAGCAGGTTTAAAATGCATCATGGGAGCTGCCCAAAGTGCTGCAGAGGCGGGACCAAATCACAACCAATCAAAGCAACAACAAGAAACAGAAGATAAAACTACTGATCAATAATAGCAAATAAAACTTTAGGAATACTAAAAACACATAAAAACAATAATGCACACGTGTCAGACACAAGGCCCGCGGGCCAGAAGTGGCCCTCCGCATCATTTAATGTGGCCCGCGAGTGTCACGTTTGGAAGGATGGAGATGGTGGACCATGTGTGGTGGGGGTTCCGGAGGCAGAAGAGCAGGCCACGGATGAAAAAAATAAAAATGGTTTAATTAATATGGCAAGTAGGATGGTACAGCAGGAGCAAACGTAACACGGTGAAAACACAACAATGATCTGACAAAGGACAGCAACAAGGAGGGAGGTATAAATACACGGGGAAAATGAGGAACACATGGGCAGGCTAATGAGGGACAGGTGAGAACAAGAAGGGTAATCAAGGCAGGAGAGGAACACAGTCAGGAAGGCAGGGGCAGATCGTGACAGTACCCCCCCCCCCCCCCCCCCCTTAAGGGGCGGATCCCAGACGCCCACAAGGCCACACAACACAGGAGACTGGGGACTCGAAGACTTGACTGGGGACAGGGACTCGAAGACTTGACTGGAACGTGAAGACGTGACTTGACTTGACTGGAACGTGAAGGCTTGACTGGAACGTGAAGACTTGACTGGAACGTGAAGACTTGACTGGAACGTGAAGACTTGACTGGAACGTGAAGACTTGACTGGAACGTGAAGACTTGACTGGAACGTGAAGACTTGACTGGAACGTGAAGACTTGACTGGAACGTGAAGACTTGACTGGAACGTGGACTTGACTGGAACGTGGACTTGACTGGAACGTGGACTTGACTGGAACATGGACTTGACTGGAACGTGAAGACTTGACTGGAACGTGAAGACTTGACTGGAACGTGAAGACTGCAGGAGCAGGCGTAGGACCCAGCAGAGAACTGCAGGAGCAGGCGTGGGACCCAGGCAGAGAACTGCAGGAGCAGGCGTATGACCCAGCAGAGAACTGCAGAAGCAGGCGTGGGACCCAGCAGAGAACTGCAGAAGCAGGCGTGGGACCCAGTAGAGGCTGCAGCAGCAGGCGTGGGACCCAGTAGAGGCTGCAGCAGCATGAGACCTGCAGGCATAAGCCCCACCAGCGTGGACCAGGAAGTGGACAATCTGTAGAAGCGACGCGAGGAAACCAGGATCAGCGGCAGGCACTCGACAGCCGGTCACAGCAGGTGCACAGCACGATTAGCTGGATCTCAGGCAGAGGCTTGGGTGCAGGGAAGCAGGAGAAGAGCGGGGAGACCAGCCCTACCACCCCGGAGAACGATGGCGTGCGTAGGGGGTGTAACTCCCTTAAAGCTCCAGGATCCGTGGCTTCCATGAAAAAAAACGGGACAGGGGCAGAAAGCAGGAGAGGAGAAGGGTTTGACCACCACAGGAACAAACTGGATGCGTCGAAACCCACTCAAAGGTTTGACCACCCCGGAGAACAGGTAGGATGCGCCAACACCTTGAGTCAGAATCTCCTTCCGCTAAAAGGAGAAAAAAGTAAAAAATAAATCCTCCAACAAACAGGTGTTAGCTCACCACAGGTCCAGGTT